GTGAGGCAGTGCCTCACCAATGAATTTTACGCCTTATTAGGATTTTTACTATTTTTTAACGACACATTTCGGCCAATAATTTGTGTCTTTTTTCTAAAATTTAAAAAATAAATATGGAAAATTATATTCTTATTTTTATCTCAGTAGGTACTCGTTGCTCCCTTAGTTAAACAGCGCGCTGAAACACTCGACACAACATGTATTTTGTGACGCGAATGAGGCAAACTCGGAGCTTGCCTCTACAGCGGATATAGAAATCATATCGTTAATAGGCAAGCAACCTGCAATACACTCATAAGCGGTATGAGTTGAAAAAAGACAAAATTGAGGCTAGCCTCATTTCCGTGCTTGCAAAAGAGATGGACAACAATATTTGCGCGCGGAGAACGTGCGATTACAATGCAGTCTGCATTTGCAGAAGTATTCAAAATTAGGCCGTTGATTGTTTTGCCACAAATCTGTGTGTGTATAAATTGATTCAAAATTTCGGTAACAGAATTTTGTCTTAAAAGTGCCTACGTTTGTGTGTGTCGCGTTAGTGCTTTGTGCTTGTCATAATTTGATTTCGGTAATCGTTATTTAAGATTACGAGTAAATCGGAATTTTTCTCTACTAACGTTAAATGACAATAGCAGTTCTGTTTTTTCTACTTTCACGTATGATGATAAATTGTATGTAGTTAAGGAATTAAAACGGCCGGTTCCTGATTTGAGTAAATCGTTAATTATTGATCTATAAAGAAGTTTAAAATAAATCCAGAGTATTTATGTTTTATACAGAGTTAGTCACGAGAGAATTACTTCTGAAAATTATTTTTACGCAACCCAAAATACTAATACCCTGTACCACTTGATATTATCTAAATTTAAAATGAAATGCCTAATCCATGATTGCTTTGACTTTGGCAGTGTCACTTTGACGTTAATTAATTTTTAACATTTTTTTTCATCGTTGACTCGCCTCTAGAGCCCCATTGGATCGATGACATACAGTCAGATCAATCTGGGCTATACTGAAGCCGTAAGTGCTCTACCAATGTTGTCCGCCGCTAATGTGCATGTGTTAATTCGCCATCTCTGCGTCACCTAGAGCCTCTTCGAAGTGCAAATCTGCAACCTCTGGACTTCTTCGGCCATCCATTTACAAAAAAGCCGTAGCATCCGCCCAAAATGCCCAACATTTTCAACAGATTAGTAGTTAAATTATTTACTTACTTGTTTGAGTTTGTGTTGTAACCTTTGAATAAAATGCCGTAAAAGGAATTTTTAGAAATAATTTTCTCGTGATTAATCGGTTGCAAAAGATCAAGAGGCACACTGACAAATTTATTAGCGGCGCCGGAGGAGATTTCCGACTGGCTGCGGTACCACCATGGACACTCGCGTAACCTCCTTTTCCACAATTGTCAAAATAAGATTGTCAAACTCAAAGCAATCATGGATTAAGCATTTCATTTTAAATTCAGTTAGTATCAAATGGTACATGGTATTCGTATTTTGGGTTGCGAAAAAATAATTTTCAGAAGTAATTCTCTCGTGACTAACCCTGTATGTTTTTCGTTTTGTTTTTTGTTATACATCAAATAGGTTTATTTTATGTTGTATTTGATTTTTTTCGATACGTTTTCTTTAAAGTTTATTTTAATTTTGTTTTTTTTTTAAGTTATATTAGTTTTTTCTGACCACGTTTTCCTTTCCTTTTGTCCTGTCATTCCCATCCTACCCTTACAAGAGTTCCTTACACCTTCACGTTGGTTCTTGGTGGACAGTTAAATGAGTTTACAAATTTGTTTATTTGACTAAGTAGAAAATATTTAAGTAATCTTGATTTATTTATATTTTGGAGCGTATTGTGCTTTGCCTCATCAACTTTTCAAGTCATGAGCCGCCCCTGATTATTATGTTTGGGGGTAAATAAAACTACATATAACCCATTTCTGTGTGTTTTATTCATGGTTACCAGAAATTACATGTAAAGTTTTCTTATAATCATCTAACTTAATCGAGGGCCACTTTGTTGAATCAGGTCCCTCCGTCCATCCTAATGGTATTTCAGGATTGGCTTCTCCTTTGACAATGTTCTTTTTGATCCAGTTGAAAATTCTTCGGTGCTCCTGATTTTGAGAAGGTTTAAATGCGAAAGAATCGTAATTTATTATTGTTAAAGACTCATAGAAAGTACTGAACGCCTTATGGTTTGCCAAATACGCAGCCCGACACAAATTCATCCACGCACTGGTCGATCCTTCGGTAATTTTTCCGAATATTCTCAACAGGCTAGAATATATCTCCAAGATTCTGCCAGCGATTATCACTCAATAATTTATAAATAAAACATTTATACGTTAGAGTATTGTCCAAGTAGTTGGTTTTCAATTTGGTCTCTTTCGCATATATGTACAAATGCATCAATGTAACCATCGACACATTGTTTTTTTTGTAGCAAAATACAAATGTCAAGTGTATAAAAATCATTTTCACTTTCGACAATCCATTTAAACACTTCGTCCGGTACAATAAAATCTTTTTTATCAACGAGATGAAGGAATAAATTTAATTTCGTTCGATCACTCCCAGCGGCTTTAAGATGTGTTTTGTACACACTTTCGGATGCACAAAATGCTTGTAGATCAACAAATTGTCTCAAGTCAGACATTGTTGTAACGTAAAATAACCAACATCGAATAAATCATCTGTGAAATTTAATTACTTATGTATGGTAATTCCCACTTTTCACGCTTCATATTTTTAAATTTCGTGCGAAATATGATATCCCCAAGGTTTCGTATCCGTTGCAAATCTTGTGACAATTCTTTTATCATCATTGGGGCTGAGAACTACTTTTTCTTGTTTTACTGTGTAAACAGTATGATGTTTGGACTTGATGAGTCTTTGTCATTTTTCGTAACTTCGATTATTAAATAAACATTCTTTGTAATTTTCAAACGTTATTGTTTTAAGTGATGCTTTTATACTACCTTTGGATTTCTTAAGTAATTTATAATTGAAATCATCACTTGCAATTCTATATGCGTACATTTTAGATCTGAGACCCACAAACTCTAGCATAATCTTACCGTTATTTTCATCTTTCATTAAACCTGGTACTTTCTTATTTTTGAGTTCTATACCATAAATATTATATAAATCATAGTCACAAGAATCAAATCGATGTGAATCTTTTTTAATATATTAATTTGTACATATATTGTCTACGTGCAATTCATAAATTAGGCTGTCAGTGTCGGTGTAAAGCAACTTAGCATTATTTTTAAATGTTTCCTTAACACAGTCATAATAAAATTCATAGAGAAAAGTTTTAGAAATATCTAAAATTCAAAAACAAACATAAATTGGTTTATTCAAAAATACTTCTAGTTTACTGATTTCGATTATTGCTGAATCATCGTCAAATACAACAGAACTGTGAAAATTTGGTTTAGATGTAAGAGACCGAACTCCCCATCTTCCCTCCCATTTATTAACCAATCGAATATCGCGATGTTTTCTTACATTTTCCATGCATTTACCATAAATAGCATTAATCATTAATTTAGAAAAATCTTTTTCAAAATCGTTCTTTGCTTGCTGCCTAAGTTTTGTATTTAAATCTATATATGCACACATTTTATTCGTCGATCAGAATAATCAAAAAATGTTGAAATATAGTTCAGATTTAATAAGAATTTACGATTTCTAGCTAAAATTTGATGGTTTCGTTGCTCCTTCCGGGCCCATAGCATGTCTGATCGGCTTAAAACTGCAAGAAAACGCTTCAAAAGTGACGTTTTTGAAGAATTTTAACAATTTTCTTGTATCTACGAACGCCGGAATGTGAAAACCTAACCCAGACGTCTCTTTTTCGTAATCTGAGATGATTCTGCATGTTATAAGTGTGTTTCGTTGATCAGAATCATCAAAAAATGTTGAAATATAGTTGAGATTTAACAAAACGGTTGCACTGCATGTGTCGGAATTGATATACGTGTCCTTACTGAAATAATGTTGACTGAAACATTTTTAAATGGGAAACTCACCAATACATACACGAATAGTATTCCCTTTTATCAACGCATTCATATTTTTGGAGCTATTGTTAATCCGGTTCCTATCATGGTTTGACGACCAAGTCACTCAAGAGTTGCCGGCGAAATATAAACAAGTGTGTTTTTGTAACATGTGTTGGAATGGTAGACAGTGTACTGTAGCGGGGTATGGGTGATTAAAGGATGATACATTAATGAATCCAAAAAACAAGCTCTACAAGATCTCTAAAAAATATTATAGAGTGTCATTAAAAAATAAATGATATGTGGTAGATAAACAAACAAAAAAATATAGGGTATCAAAACGAATTTATAGGATATCATTTACCTTCTGAGGCGGTTACTAGTATTACTTATCTATGTTTTTTTAATTTTTCAAAGAAGCGAGATTTGTTGCACTGGGCTTTATGATATTTTTCTCTAGAGTTTACTTTTCTTAATTTTTCTTTTCAGTTCTTCAAATACGTCCTTCCAAATTCCTTTTCTAGCTCTCACAATCCATTAATATCATACTTGAAAATTTTAAAACTACTTAATTATCCCGGAGAGTGCTGACCAAAATTTATTTATTCATCCCTTGTAAAGTATTAATGACGCCATTTCAGAATATTTTCTAATAAATCAAGGTCACTTAAACACTTTATTTAATGTTCCATTTCAAATTATTACTAGGAAATATAAATTCAAACTTTCAATGGGTGATTTATACTTACATATGATATTATAGTTGAGTCATTTTTACATAAAAGCACTGTGTTATATTAAACTAATCCAGTGATAAAAATGTATTTATTCTGTTACTTTACTGTCTTAACGGGTCATTGCTTTTAACGCCACTGAATATGTAACTATATGGGAACCTTGAACACGTTTAAGTGTGTCTTAGTAGTTTACTACATAATTGTAAGTAAGGTCATAATAGCAACAAATGCATAACCATTCCATTTGTATTGTTATGGCGAACTACGATAATTCGGCATCGGGCACCGTAAGCAAAAATTTGAACCGGGTTTGCTTTGTGCTAGCTCGGTATCAATTGTGCAATATTTATTGAAATAGAGTTTTATCCAATTTGTTAAAAAAGATCCGTTGTATGTCCCTGTTTTAATAATTTTGTTCATAATACAATGTGAACGTTGTAAGCGCAATGTAAATGTGGTCAATTTTTGCATGTTTCCAATTTTTTTCTTCACAAAAAATAGCCTTTAGTATCGAATATTAAGGGAACAGGGACAAAATGTGTCCAGTAAAGATTTTTAAGAAAAAAAACTATCACTCCAAGTCAATTTCCTTCCATTTTAAGGTACAACAGAATTGGGGAGAAAATTGTCCCAAACCAACCCGAGGGATACCGCCTTAGCACGTTGATGAATGTGAATTCTTGTAGAAAAGTTGCAAGAGGCGAACGAATGTTACGCTATTCGGAACACTCTGTCAGTGAATATCTACTACCAAATTCACCTTTAAGGAGGTGACTTGGATGATGAGGGCAATGGAAAAAATCACAACACAATCACTGTACATGAGACCACAACACCAACAGCCATTCAAGAGAGAACAGAAAAATTAATAGAGATGACAGAACCAAATAGAAGAAGTGAAAGAATTTACAGGAAGGAGAAAATGAAAAAAAAATAGATATCAAGGGGGACAAAATATACAGGAGTTTATATGGTTATTAATTATTATTATGTTCCTACGGTTTCTTTTAAAAGTTTCTACAATCGTTTCTTATATGCATTTACTATCACTGTTGACACAATTTGTAAATCGAACATACAACACATACGTTTCATTATTTACTAAAAATGTTCTATTTAAGAGATAATAATAGAAACGAAACTATGTATACCTATAGTAATAAAACCTATTTATCTATCCTTCATTATTTTGAACCCTGTGTAAAAAATTCCTGTGAAACCTTAGTTTTTTATAAACTACTGAATTTTTATAATTCTCTGAAACGTTGTCATACAAATAAGGGACTAAAAAAGAAGACAAGAAACGACATTATAGAAACAAAAAAAGAACATGTTCTCGCTATCCACACTGTATTTCTAAAGCTTTATGTAGGTAAATTCTCAAAGAAAACATTTTAATTATTTTCCCGTTGGGTTCACACTTTGTCCACATTAAAAATGTTAATGCCATTTTTTTATGACACCTGTACTTACACTTGTTTATTATCAAGTTTATTAAAATAAATTACTCAAACTACAAAAACTTTGTAGAACAGAAACTTTCAGCCCATTTGTCAAAGAAGACAGGATGTTCTACTGGTACGACTATCTTTTGGTATTCTTTGTGCTAGTTACAAGTGTGTTAATCGGTATTTATTTCGGTTGTTTTGGTACTAAACAGTCAACCGTTAAAGAATACCTTTCCGGAGGAAAACAAATGAAAATTTTTCCAATAGCTATATCGGTAATAGTCAGGTACAACAATTACTTTTTCTTTACATACACCTATATTACACTATTTTAGTCACTTTTCTGGTATTACTCTAATAGCAGTTCCGGCAGATGTTTACAAATATGGAGCATTTTATGTGTTAATATGCTTGTCTACTGTTCTTTTGGTTATTGCTTCAATGTATGTTTATTATCCTGTATTGTTTAAAGGCGAATACGATAGTATTTATGAATACTTGGAAGTAAGGTTTAATCGTAAAATTAGATTGTTTAGTTCTTTTTTGTACGTTTTGTACGAAAATCTTTTACTTCCTATAATCGTTTATACCCCAGCACTAGCGCTGTCTGTTGGTGGGTGAAACTTTTCGTAATGAACGTACAGAATTATAATCAAAATATTAGTTACAGGATTTAGTGTACAGCTGATAGTCTTGTTAATATGTGGTACATGCGTGTTTTATACAGCTATTGGAGGTTTACGAACAGTGAATTGGACAGACATTTTTCAATTTGTCATAGTTATGATAGCTTTCTTAACAGTTTGTGGCGAAGGAATTAAATCAGCAGGAGGTATTTCGTCAGTTTGGAATAAAGCAGTATCCGGAAAACGACTTGATATTTTTGAGCACTTTTCTCTCACAATTATTGTTTTTTTTTAACATAATTAAACTTGTAGTTTCGACCCAGATCCAACAAAAAAAGACTCATTCTGGATATGTACGTTCGGTTTTACGGCTCGATTTTTGTTTTACGTTTGTTTATCTCAAACGAGCGTCCAAAAATACATGAGTCTTGCAACACTCCGTCGCTGTAGATGGTATAACAATTTTTTTTTTTGTATTTTGTATTTTGTGTTTTGTGTAAATGTGTAGGTCCCTTTTACTATCTGGTCTGTGTTGGTGTATAGTTAACACATGCGCCGTTTCTGTTGGTATAATAATATATGCTAACTTCTACAACTGCGATCCTGTAATGGACAAAAAGATTACAAAAAATGACCAAATTGTGGCTTACTATGTAGAACAAGTAGCAAAAAAAATTTCAGGTATCTCTGGATTATTTATGGCTGCACTATTAAGTTCTGCAATAAGGTTGTAACAACGTGTTTATTAACATAAAAAAATACTTGTGTATTTTTAGTACGTTATCGTCAAGTTTAAATTCGTTATCTGGTGTTATTTATAACGACTTCGTCAGAAAATTTTCAAAGAAATCATTTACTGAGAAAACCAGTGTAACAATTATCAAAGTTATTGTAGTTATTGAGGGAATTTGGTGCACTTCTATGGTTTTTGTTATTCAGTACTTGGGTGAAATTCTGCCTTTAGCCACTGCTATTACAGGATTAATGGATGGACCATCGTTGGGATTATATACCTTAGGCATATGCTTCCCACAAGTAGACTCTACGGTTATTGAAGTCCGTACATATTTAATTTCGAATTGAAAAAGTTTTACTTCCAGAGCGCCTTCTACGGGACAATTGGAGGTGTAATTTTTGTATCTGCTATATATTTTCCATCAGTATATTATAAACAAAAGCAAGTGTTCGTATATCCCGCCAAAGAAGTCAGTGTCAAAGGATGTAATGTTACCGATGAAACGCTTTCCATGACTTCAAAATACTCGAATTCTTTTCATGAAAATTTTACCAGCAACAGTTACAATGTCGATGAGCTGAATGTTGTTAATTCGACAATGAAATTGTAAATAACATCACTATCACTTACTTAGTTGTGTTACTTCTGTATATTTTTAGGGATGACTTCAGTGCGAATCAACCGTTCTTCTTTTTCCGAATTTCTTACGCGTACTACTGTTTACTGGGAGCTCTTGTAACCATAATTTTGGGATTAATTATATCATATGTTAGAAAGTGTAAAACAAAATCACATGCTAATCAAGCACGACCAGCAAGCCTACCTTTGCTGGTAGAATAAATTCCACACACAAAATTGTTCGTCACATTTTGATTTGCGAAGAAAGGATATCAAAAACATTTTAATCAAAACATCGATCAAAGACACAATCAAAAATTTCTTTTGCCTCATAGTTTGTTAAACTAGAATGGAATAATTGTGTAAATCTCGTTTATAGCTACGTGTCATTTTATACAATGGAAAAACAATATGTAATTTCATAAAAGCATGTAAAGAGAATGCCAACGTTTTTGCAAGGACTACATTTTGTAGAATAGGAAGTTAGGAAAAATTAATCCACTCACAAAACTCGTAACTTGTTTAACCACCCATCTCATCAAAAGAACAATTACCATAAGTAAAATATCTGTAATGATTTAAATGCATCAATTTGAACATGAAACTCAACTTACTTTCAACTTACGTCATTTATACGGATATGGGTAAAGCGTTCGACAAAGTTGATCACCGTATTCTCATACATTGTTTAGATAAGGTCGGTTTTAGTCCTAATTTATTGAAATTATTTAACTCTATGTTACGTGGTAGGCATCAGTTTGTGGAATATTGTGGTTTTTGATCTTGTCTGTACGCCGCTTCATCTGGTGTTACACAGGGATCTAATCTAGGTCCTTTACTTTTCAATGTATTCATTAATGGAATTTTCGACGTCTTAGATCCTTCTTGCAAAGCCTACTTATATGCCGACGATCTAAAGATTGCAAGGATTATTAACACGCCCGAGGACTGCATTATTCTACAAAATACTTTAAACAGAATCGTTGCCTGGTGTGTACAAAATAAACTTATGGTAAATAAAAGCAAATGCTACACAATCAGTTTCTATCACAAGCTTAGCACAATATTATTTGATTACTCCATCGACAATGTAGTACTTAACAGATACACTGAAATACGCGACCTAGGTATAACACTCGACTCAACACTTTCTTTTATTCCGCATGTTTCCCATATCTGCAATGAAGTCATGAAATTACTGGGTTTTATAGTTCGCAACACTAAAGGTTTTGCAAATACAGATAGTTTGATCTGCCTTTACCAATTTTTGGTTCGGAGTAAATTAGAGTACTGTTCGGAAGTTTGGAATCCTTGTTATGCCGTTCATATCGATAAACTTGAACGTGTTCAAAGGCGATTTTGTAAATATCTCTATTTCGTTAAAAACAAATTAAATGGGAAAAGAGACAAATGCGACTTAATTGCTGTGGACTTTAAGGTTAGCGAACAGAATGCCGGTCCACGAAAAAACTCATTTATTTATAAAAAAAAAACCGGTCAAAAATATGACAAACTTCACGATGATAACTTTGTACTAGCTTACATGAACCACTAATAACATGAGTACATGTTAAAATCTTATGGTTCTAAAATAGTGTGTATGGTTGGTACACACGGTACTAATCCATGCAATTATGAACTGACAACTATTTTAGTCCTAGATGATGAAAATATTCCAACAGTGTTTTTACTTGGCGACCGAAAAGTCAAAGTTGTCCAAGAATATTGCTCCGCAAATTAAAAAATATTACATCCGTAATAAAACCCGAATATTTTATGTCTGACGATACCAACATCTATTTTGATGCTTGGTGTGACGTAATGGGTTTAGTTCCATTTAAACTGCTATGCACGTGGCATATAAGAAAAAAACTGGCCCATTCAAACAAAGGCAAAAGTAAGAAGTAGAGATGTGTGTATGAAAGTTCAAAAAGATTTGGACGTTTTATTAAAAGAAGTTGACACAAAAGAATTTTTCAGATTGAAAGAAGAGCCATATAAATATTTAGAAACAGAGAAAGAAAAAGTTTTTTTTTACATTACCTACAGAAATATTACTTCCAGAACGACGTCAGAATTCGGTCCTGCGCACATTGTTTCAGACTGCATGCTGGATTCTACACAAATATGCATCTGGAAGCCTTGCATAAATCGTTGAAATATACTGGCTGTGGCAAGACAGTGTGTCGATTAGAAACTTGTTTGGATATGTTGGATAAACTTTTAAAAGACAGGTCATGGAAGAGAATTTCTTCAATTCTTAGACCAACTGCCACACACAGGCATCTTGCTTTAAATAAAGCACACAAAGCGGCCATGACAATGAGCTTCGAATGTGTTGCTGAAAAAGATACCAAAACATATTGAGTACATTCGCAAACAAAGGTAGACTTTTATGAAGTCAAAGTATCTGACAGTTTGTGTGCGTCCACTAAAATTCCGACATTACACCTACGCGTGTTGGTGACTATAAAAAGTTAGGTTAGGGAAACGGCTTCCCACTAAAGAGTGTACAAATAGGAAATTTAATAATTTGTTTGCGGCAAAGTAAGCATTTGCATAACATTTGAAGATTAAGGACGTGATCATGGGGTAACGTAGAAGAGTTGTGTGTAAATAGTTTGTGCGAAATCGAGAAGTGCCTTTTGTACAATTTTACCGTTTACTATTTATGTACATTGTATATGTACATACTATAACAAAATAATTTAGATACACATATACTTAAAAAGCTACAGGAAGAACTTTTAACTTTGAGGTCATACATCATTGATCATCAACGCGTGGAGGTGTGTTTCATACGTTAGATCCAGTGCTGTCGCGGCGATAGTTTGATTACAAATATATTTTTCTTTTGGACTATATCAACATAATATAACATTTCAAGATCACAAATCTGTGGTCCTGTGTTTGAAAAATTAAAAAGAGCATCGAGTATTATTTTTTGAAGTAATATAGTAATACATATACAGGGTGTCCCAGAATTCGCGCCATTCCCGTAAATGACATGTTCCCTGTCCCGAACTGTGCCGTAATTCGCAAAAAGAATTGTCCAGGCTTTAACCGTGTGAGAACTGGAAGGCGATTAAGTTGACCAATAGAGAGGCTGCTTTTATATCCGAACGTTTCTATGTTCAAAGTTACCTATGCCAAGAACAAAAAATCGGGTAATACTAAAGTTGAATGAATTTTTTTCGAATCCCCCTCCGTCAACAAAAGGAAACAGAAGTGTGGTTATAAATTTAATCATTTTGACAATTGTTTGTCATAAACTGTCACGAAGTTCATCACTGACCTGAACAGACGCTTCTGCCCCCAAAGATGACTGATTAATGTACACAGAGACGTCAAGGTTTACTTTAAGGCAAGTAGCATGGCACAGAAGTTATTTCTGCTGCCATTCTAGTTAAATTGTGTTTAACTGGGCTGTACATGTCATAAGAGAAGCTGTTTCATTTCATCGTAGGCAAATAATACATTTATTACTATTCTACATAGAGTAGCTACCGAAGAGCAGGTATTAGAAGTGATTTTCTTAGAGCCCCGTGAATAATGTGTTGTTCTTTTTAACGAAAATTAGTACATTTTCAGAATGCATCATATGCCTGATATTAAGTTTATCGTTATTTCTAAAAAAGAGTACCACATGTCCATTCAAAGAACGTTATTAAGTGTATTTAAACATAAATATCGCTTTTGATTAATCAGTGATTATGATTTTCAATAAACAGTATCAATTTTTACTGAACAGCTTTGTTGCTGATACCTAATCTAAGCAACGAAAAAATAGACGAGACTCCACTTCTCTGGTGTATTAAGATCATAGGTATCTGCTGTGGTGTCAATCATGTGGGGGAGATACTGAAAACTGAGACTTATTCAAGAATAATATTGATGTTGCACATGATGATTTAAGACAGTTTCTTTAAAGTTGTGAGTACATACTTTCTAGAGATTGAAAAGATACGAATAAAAATTATAACAATAGTTGCAATTTTTTTTAAGAACAATACAAACAATTTATGGAGAATGTACACGCTATGCAGCCACTGCTGTGCGCGAATATACAGGTCTTTTCCCCAATCATCGGCTCCTT